CTGAGGGAGTCCTAGAGGGACCACTGAGGACATAGGCGGGGGAGCCCCCCCCTTCGATTTTCTACACCCCCTGCCCGATTTTTGGGGCTCCCCAAAACATCCCCCCCCTCATTCTGAACATCACCCCTTGTCACATTCAGGCTTCTGTGCCTGAGAAACTTTGCTCGTTTCAGCCAGGCTCCCACCAACAGGTTATACATGGGGCTTCATACAGTTTCTGCAGTGATTTTAGCAAAGCTCTAGACTTGACTGCAGGGTCCTTAAAACTTTTGAAGTCCCCTCTTAATCTCCTTCTATGCAGCTCAGCTTTGCAAATACGTCGGCTGTGGGAATGGAGTGGTTTCTTCTCAAATGTCTGAAGCACAAGCGGCTTCAAATGGGGAGATGGAGCAGTACAGAGGTCACAGTCAGAGGAAATTTTACTGTGGTGTCAAATTTAAGAATTTGAGCATGGGAACGGCATCAAGGAGGAAAACTGGGCAAAGCTTATCCTGCCACAGAAAAATAGTATTTTCATGTCTCTTCCCTTATGTATTTTTACAGAAAAGATGATATCTAAATCCATTAATTATATTTATTTAGTTTATCATTATACTTATTATATATAACTGAAATAAAAATAGCCAGATAAACCACACTCTCCTACACCAGAATTTTCCCTTTGCTTAAAACATAATGCCATAAAGTTGTCCCATTAAATTAAAAAGCAAATATCAGTTGTATTCTTCTATCTCAAGTTGACATGAAAACAGAAAATTATTTTCTTCTATCTTACTGTATAGCAGAAAAGTAGTACAATGGGGGGTCACCACTAGGTGTGCTTTCAATCAAAAAAGCTGTATTCAAACCTTCTTTTTTGAACTCTAGGATAAGCCCCTACAGACCCCTGCAGACCTTTACACAACCCTAGGGTCATGGGGGTGGAGCTTATTGCACAGGCTGAGTGGGCAGAGCATAGTATGCAAAACAGGTGGGAGGGGGCAGAGATTCAGATTAGGTGGGTGGAGCCCAGTATGCAGATGAGCTGCACCCTTGCCCTTTAGGCTATTGGGTGGAGCACAGGTGGGGTGTGCAATGGGGTGGAGCGGTATATGGAGATAAGGGTGGGCATGGCTGAGTGGGCATGGCTTTTGGGGGTGTGTCAATGGGGGGCGTGGCCTACCAGAGGCTGTTGGGGGGAAAGAAAAGGG